ACTTGATTGAAAGACCAAGAGGCTTAGGTCCGATTGTGGTGGAGAGTATTTCTCAAATGAATTTGATTCCTTTTGTGTGGAACATGGTATAATTCATGAGAGGACGCCTCCCTATTCACCTCAGTCAAATGGGGTGGCCGAAAGAAAGAACCATACTCTAACTGATTTGGTTAACACCATGTTAGACACATCGGGTCTCTCCAAGGCATGGTGGGGGAAGGCGATATTGACTGCATGTCATGTCCTAAACCGAGTTCCCACAAAGAACAAAGAGATAACTCCTTTTGAGGAATGGGAGAATAAAAGGTTAAAGCTCTCTTATCTACGAACCTGGGGTTGTTTGGCGAAAGTCAATGTGCCAATTCCAAAGAAGCGGAAGCTGGGACCAAAGACTATGGATTGTGTTCTCCTGGGATATGCTTTTCATAGCATTGGTTATAGATTCTTGGTTGTAAAATCTGAGGTACCTGACATGCATGTCGGTACGATCATGGAGTCGAATGATGCGACTTTCTTTGAAGATATCTTTCCCATGAAGGATATGCCTACCTCATCTAATCAGGAGATGCCTAGTTCATCGAATCAGGAACCGGTTACAGTTACTGAACCTGCCATTTCAATGGAACACTTTGAAAGTCCTGTGGAGGAGAAGAACGAAGTTCCTACTAGGAGCAAGAGACAGAGGACTGCAAAGTCCTTTGGTGATGATTTTCTTGTGTATCTCATAGATGACACTCCCAGTTCTATTTCAGAGGCCTATGCATCTGAAGATGCTGACTACTGGAAGGAAGCAGTTCGTAGCGAGATGGATTCCATCTTGGCAAACGAAACTTGGGAGATAACTGATCGTCCTTATGGGTGCAAACCTATAGGATGCAAATGGGTATTCAAGAAGAAGCTTAGGCCTGATGGTACTATTGAAAAGTACAAGGCTCGGCTCATGGCTAAGGGTTATACCCAAAAGGAAGGTGAAGACTTCTTTGATACTTACTCACCTGTGGCTCGACTGATCACTATTCGAGTTCTACTTTCACTAGCTGCCTCACATGGTCTTCTCGTTCATCAAATGGATGTTAAGACTGCTTTCCTAAATGGAGAGTTGGACGAGGAAATTTATATGGAACAACCAGATGGGTTTGTAATAGATGGTCAGGAAGGGAAAGTGTGCAAGTTGCTGAAGTCTTTGTATGGACTCAAGCAAGCACCCAAACGGTGGCATGAGAAGTTCGAAAGAACTTTAACAGCTGCAGGCTTTGTTGTGAACGAAGCTGACAAATGTGTGTACTATCGCCATGGTGGGGGTGAAGGAGTTATGCTTTGCTTGTATGTTGATGACATACTGATTTTCAGAACAAATCTGAATGTTATTAAGGAGGTCAAGGATTTCCTATCTCGCTGTTTTGAGATGAAGGATTTAGGAGTGGCTAATGTCATTATGAACATCAAGTTGTTGAGAGACAATGATGGTGGGATTACATTGCTTCAATCTCACTATGTGGAAAAGATCTTGAGTTGCTTTGGCTACAGTGACTGCAAGCCCTCTCCAACACCATATGATGCTAGTGTGTTGCTTCGAAAGAATCAACAAATTGCTAGAGACCAATTGAAATATTCACAGATTATTGGCTCGCTTATGTACTTAGCCAGTGCTACAAGACCTGACATCTCTTTTGTTGTTAGCAAACTGAGCCGGTTTGTCTCAAAACCAGGAGATGTGCATTGGAAAGCTCTAGAGAGAGTTTTGTGTTATTTGAAAGGCACTGCAAATTATGGAATTCACTACACTAGGCATCCAAAGGTGCTTGAAGGGTATAGTGACTCAAACTGGATCTCAGATGCTGATGAGATAAAGGCCACAAGCGGTTATGTATTCACTCATGGAGGTGGCGCTGTTTCTTGGAAGTCTTGCAAGTAGACCATCTTAACGAGGTCAACAATGGAAGCAGAACTCACAGCACTAGATACAACTACGGTCGAAGCAGGTTGGCTTCACCGGCTCTTGAATGACTTGCCGGTTGTTGAGAAACCTATACCGGGTATCCTTATGAACTGCGACAATCAAACTGTGATCACGAAAGTGAACATCTCAAAGATAACATGAAGTCATCAAGACACGTTCAGAGAAGGTTAAAGTCTGTCAGGAAAATGAGAAACTCAGGAGTTATTGCATTGGATTATATCCAAGCGTCTAAAAATCTGGCAGATCCTTTCACTAAGGGTCTATCACGTAATGTGATAGATAATGCATCGAGGGAGATGGGTATGAGACCCTCAATATGAGTTGTTCACAGTGGTAACCTATTCTTTGTGATCGGAGATCTCGTGAATTAGATGTGTAAGACAAGTTGTTGGTCAACTGGGAGGAGAGTACCCTTACTATTAAAAATACCACTCCATGAAGATGCAATACTCTCCTAATCTGCATGGCAGGTTGATGTATATCTTAATGTGTTCTAAGTGGCTCTTTGAAGCAGAGATGTTGTCCTGCAGAACATCTTTTGAAGAACGCACCTATATGAGTCTGATTGTTAAACGTCGCAATCTATGAGAGTAAGGTTCTCTCTAGTAAACTCATGAAAGGTCTCGGAGTATGACGCATAAGCTCCACCCACGGGGAAGACCCACGGTAGCCATGTGCCGGTCAAGGCTTTGTGTGAAGCTAGATTCACAGAAAACTTGTAGTTCAAGGCCCAGTCCACTGTTCAAGTTGCTTACTAGTGTAGCATAGAGTTCTAGGTGGAAGTTCAACTTAACAGTCTCCACTTCAGTACCGGTATATAAAACAGTGTTTTGGAACCAAAGGCAAATTTTGTGTGCCTCTGGGATCTGGTGGGGGATTGCTGGAATTTAGTCTATTTTGGGACAACCCAATAACTATTTCAGAAATTCCTAAATAAATCCTAGAGGCACACTTAGCCCATTTGTGCAAGGCAAGGGATACTACTAAAGTTTAGTCCCACATTGCTAGTTTAGTGGGAGTTGGACCTCCTTATAAGGGAGGTTCTTTCCCCACTTGTATGAGCATGAGAACAAGAGGGACACCCACGCACGCTCCTCCTCCACCGCCCGCCTCGCCACGCCACGCCTCGTCATGACGCGTCACGGGTTGCGGGTTGCGGGAATGAGCCGAGCCGATGTCTAAATTTTTGCCACACACTATGGGTATACGAAAGGTCACTCGGGAGCTGGAAAGTTTTTGCTGTAGTGGATATTGAATACGAACGCTGCACCCTTCGGCTGCTGGCTGTTCGTTTCATCTCCCGCGTTCCCTTCAGCTCCCGGCGCGGCCGCTCGCCTCCTTCTCTTGCGCCTATAAAAGGGAGGTCGCTCCTCCGAAAGAGACGCACCAGAACTTCTCCTTCCTCTCGCCACTGGTTTCAATCTCTGAGCTGTTGCTGTCTTCCTCATCCCGGCTTGCGGCGTGCACCGCGAGTCGGGACAGTAGGTCTCCGAAACCGCACCTCTTTGAGTCCTGTACGGGAAAAGGGTGATAAGGTTTTTGAGGGGCGCTCTGCGCGACTACTGACTTCTTTGTCATGGACGCCCCGGACTCCGACGACTACTTCCCCGACGTCGACAACCTCCTCGACGACATGGAGGACACCGACACCAAGTCTAGTGCCTCTGCTCCGGCTGTTGTCCAGTACGTGTTCTTGTTTTTCCTGTTAGAGGTTCTGCCATAGTTCCTTCTTCTAGTGTTTACCCTACACTTGTTAGGATCTACCTCATATATGCATCTTGATCTACTGTCTGCTCGAGAGATGATCGTTTCTAGCTCATGTATGCAGATGTTATTTACCTTCACTTTGTCAAATCGCATGACTTGTTTTATCACTGCTATACTAGTCATGCTTTATCTACTATTTCTGTTAATAAAATCATTCAGTAAATTGCTCATATTTCCAACAAAAATATCAAATCATGCATATAAGAATTCAGAGAAGAACCAAATAGTATTCATAGATAATCAAGTTCATAAATCCACAATTCATCAGATCTCGGCAAACATACCGCAAAAGAATATTACATCAAATAGATCTCCAAGAACATCAATGAGAACTTGGTATTGAGAATCAAAGAGAGAGAAGAAGCCATCTAGCTAATAACTATGGGCCCGAAGGTCTGTGGTAAACTACTCATGCTTCATCGGAGAGGCGATGGTGTTGATGTAGAAGCCCTCCGTGATCGATTCCCCCTCCGGCAGATCGCCGAAAAAGGCCCCAAGATGGTATCTCACGGGCACAGAAGGTTGCGGCGGTGGAAAAGTGGTTTCGTGGCTCCCCTGATGTTTCTAGGTTATAAGAGTATATATAGGCGAAAGTGAAGGATTGGCATGAGAGGAGACGTACCAATTTCAAAAGTGAAGGATTAATATATCCTATTAGCAATTATACCTGAATCTGTGGGCTATGGCTTTGAAACTGAACCACGCCTGTTGGCTGCTGCCCGCTATTGGCACTGAACAAAAGTGTTCGTTTTCCTAAAAAAAATGTTCGTGTCAATCAATCCTTCCCAGATATTGTTTGCCTCAATATTGGGTCTTCTTATATACTCCCTCTATTTTTTTAGTTTGTATATAAGATTTGGTCAAAGTCAAACTTTATTAACTTTGGCTAATTTTATTAAAAAAAATTAAGATTCACAGTATGAAATCAATATTGTTAGATGCATCATTGAATTAACTTTCATACCATATAACTTTAGTGTTGTAGATGTTGATTTTTTTAATAAAGTTGGTCAAACTTTATAAAGTTTAACTTTGATCAAATCTTATATGCAGACTAAAAAACGGAGGGGGTATTATTTACCCCCAATATCGGGGTCTGCTTTTTTCTTTGAGTCCTGGCCCACCTTCGACCAACCAACCACCATTCCCACCTCCCCTGCTCTACTTCCCAAAAAAAAAACTCCCCTGCGGCGACGGCGACGGCGAGGAGACGGCGAACGGCGGGCAAGGACCAAGGCGCGTCGACTTCAAGCTGCTCTGCTCCCCGTCCGGCATGGTAGCCCCGTCTCTCCTCCGTCCGTGCCACCCACAAGGTCAGCTCTCGTCTGTTCTGCCCGCGCCCTGCAGGTGCTTGCGTTTATTCCCACCAGGTTCCTTCCAACGCGACCTAGCTAGCTCCATTACCATGGTCACCAGCCAATCACTCACTCAATTTCCGAGCGCGTGCATGCGAGAGAGGCCGCCCTGTCACGTCACGCACGGCTGTTTGCTTCAGTGGAATCGCAGCTGTCTCCGCGCCCTATTGTTTGCCTTGCCTCGGTGCGTACCCAGAAACTAAGCAATGGCCGCCATACATCAAGAGACGAGCTTGAGCTTGAAGCGAATAAAGCTGGCCTTTGTGCCAATTCAAGTGCAATATGATCAACTCGTGTCTAGGCGCTAGCCCCCAGTGCCCGTCTTTTTAACATTCGCTTACCAAGCTCGTTCACATGGCATGTCCTTGTGCCGGCCAGAGTGTTGTAGCTAGCCTAGCCTTGTTCTTACTCTTGGATTTGCTTCGCGGGATGGGATGCGATTGTTTGGTCGATCTCATCCGGTGGGAGCAGTGGACATACACTTCACTTGTTGGCTAAAGCACATCATTGGTCCGTACGACCTCAGCTTGATCACTCCTTCCGGGCACCACAACTGAGGCTCCTTCAGTTCACTAGCAGTATGTTATTAACTTACTACTATAGACCTCGATACTGAAGGAGGCCATTTGCTTGCAAGCCCAGCAGCCAAACCAAATGTAATCATCCCCAGCCTCTCTTGATCCTTCCTCTTTGTATCAACTCCAGGCGTATCTGCACAGGTTGTCCAGTGTTGTTAGCACTCTCAAACTTGATCTCTAACGCTGCCCTCTCATAAATATATATTACATGGTAGTAGAACAACTGTCGATCAGAGCCTTGGCCTCACGAATCGAAATACTCGTTGTATTTTTGTTCAAGAAGACCAGGAACCCTCTCCCTGATATTTACAGAGTATCTACTGGGACGACAGGAGTAGTTTATAGTATTGATCAGTACTAGTTTATCTGTAGCTGATGACGGCTCCTTGCCCTTGTTCTTTAATCAGTTTGGCAAGTGCAGCTAATAGCCTGATTATTACTACTCTCTGTCTCTGCTTTGTGCAGCTGCCTAGTGTTTTCGCCCCACACTTGTCCTTTCCAGGCAAGCAGGTGTAGCACGATTAGCTTTGTTTAATCGCTGATTAATTAACTGGTGCTGCAAAGTAGTATAATCTGATCAACTCGAGTCTAGGCGCTAGCTCTCAGTGCCCGTCTTTTTAATATTTGCTTACCAAACTCATTCACATGGCATGTCTGTGTGTGCCGGCCAGCGCCTTGAAGACCGCAATCCCACCGATGACTCTCCCGCAGCCTAGCCTTGTCTTTACTCTTGGATTTGCATTCAAAGGATGGGACGGGATTAGTTCGGGTGATGACTTGTAGCTGCTGACCACCAATAAGGAGAGACATTAGAGTAAAGTAAAGTAAGCAGCTCCCTCGTATCTCAGATCTCTCTCTCTCTCACTACTCCTTGGCTCAATAAAGCAGTTGCTGATCAACGCCTTGGCTTAACACATCAATAGTTCACATGACATTTTCATATTTTTTGAATCGTATGTCATAATGATTATAGCACTGGACACTTTATTCAAATACAAATTTGGTGACATGTTTTTTTGTGTGCCGGATAACCAACATTCTGTTGGTCAAACTGATTTTTGAATCGCAAAATACGCAGAAGCCAGCAGACTGGAAGGAGGGAGTTGGTTTTTTGTACTTGCTGATGACAGCCCCTTGTCTATCTTATTAAATCCGTGTGACAAGCGCAGCTAGCCCAGTGATACTAGTTAATTAGTACTATATCAGATCTGTCTGGGTGCTAAACACTCACTAACTCACTCTCTCTTTCTCACAGTCGCTTGATCTCTCCGTCACTTGCTCTCTTCTGCCCGCCTCCTCCCGTCACCTCACCCTCTTCCCCATCGCCGTGGCGACGACAGCTCCCGGGTCTGGACCAGCCGCACCGCACTGCTGCCTCAGATCACAAGGTAGCAAGTCAGATCTCTCTCTCTCTCTCTCTCTCTCTCTCTCTCTCTCTCATATGTAAAGGTGTTCCTGCAGGCCTGACCGGCAGATCCTTTTGCAGCTAGCTAAGCCTCCCCAGCAGTCAGCATTCATCACCTGCAGACCAGTACCTCGTGCAAGCGCGTTGCAGCTAGCCTATACAATCAGTACTAATATCTTTTCCAACAAAAAAAATTGTGTGCTATTTCGACGTTATAGCGTCGCTATAGCCTATCGGGAAAGACCACATTACGTTTTAGCAAATTTGCGCGCTACAGCGCTATTCATGTTATAGCGCACTATTTTGACGCTAAACAAAATAACTTGTAGCGTTTTAGCGTGTATCACCCAGCAGCCTATCAAGCATCACCGCATCAGCCCAACTCACTCTCACACACACACTCTCTCAGATGCAACTCATACAACAGTCTATACAACAACTCATACAGCCTAACCAGCCAACTCGTCACCAGTTTCCCACCAGCTCGTGACCGAAGGTGACGGCGGCGTTCGTGACTCGTGAGTGAAGGCGGCGGCGGCATTCGTGACTCGTGAGCAAAGGCGGCGACGGCGGTTCGTGAGTTGCAACAGCTTCTCTTCATCCTGTCTCCAAGTAGCAGCGTCGACCACGCCTCCAACTCCAGCAAGTCAATGCAATTTCTTATTAGGAGTGTTCCCTTTAGTTGCAAATTAGGAGTATCCATGTTTAGTTAGGAGTATTCCCTTTCCTTGCAAATTATTGAAGCCTTCCATTATGTGATATATATATTTGAATTTGTTTTTTGCAAAATGCTATTTTTTAAATATAGCACGCTATTAGCACACTATAACCTGTATAGCATCTAGAGAAGGGCGACGTTAAATCTTATAGCGCGCTATTTTTTCATTGATCTTTTCCAGGATTTCTTACTTTTTATTAGTGACGGCAAATCAATGCCTGCATATATGACATATGTACCAATGATTGGATTTCCTTTGGTTTCTGGATTGATGCAGGTCGTACATCCCTGCATCAGATGGGGATGTACACAGCACTCCGTGTGGCGCAATGGGTGGTGGGCAAGGCGCTAGCCCCCGTTGCCGAGGGTGTGCTGGGGGCTTGGGCAGACACCAAGAACTTTGGTCCCAACGTCGAGGCCCTCAGCACGGAACTGCTGCTCGTGAAGGCCATGCTTGAGCAGGCTGCCCACAAGGAGCTCGGAGGCCCGGCAATGGAGATGCTGCTGCAGAAGCTGCGGGACTCGGCTCAGAATGCCGAAGATTTGCTGGATGAGCTGGACTATTTCCGCATCCACGACAAGCTCCATGGAACGTATGAGGCTGCCGACAAGCACGGCAAGGGTTGCGTCCGCAACCTTGCCTTCAATGCTCGCCACACCGCCGAAACTGTTGGCAAACTGGTTAACTGTTGCGCTTGGCAGCGTGCTAAGCGCCGGCAGAGGTCACACAACAATTCCTCCTCAGCGCCAAGCGCCAATCATGAGGCCAGCGGATGCATGCCCAAGCTCGGTAAACTCCTCCCTTGCTCATCTTCCCCACATCTACATGTTGGTGATGGCGATGGTGGCAATGAGCAAGAAACACCAAAGCTTGAGTTTAATAGGATTGGTTTCTCTCAAAGGATGAATAACATTGTAGAGAAACTGCAGCTTATGCGCAATGAGGTTAGCAAGATTCTGATACATTGTGGCCCTAGAACTGTCCCAGACACTGCCCAAATTCGTCCTATCACCAAAGGTCGGATTGATGAGCCAAAACTGTATGGGAGGGACCGTGTCATGAATAGCATCATACATGATATCACCAAGGGTCAATATTGTGACAAGGGTCTAACTGTGCTGCCGGTTGTGGGTCCGGGGGGAATGGGGAAGACAACTCTGATACAACACATATATCGCAACCAACAAGTGCAGAATCATTTTCCAGTCATGATTTGGATATGTGTCTCCCTTGATTTCAATCTCGATAAGGTGCTAGAACAGATTAAAACATGTACACATCGAGTTGAAGCGGAAAAAGAGGGTATTATAACAGAAAATGTGATTGAACAAAGATTAAAATATAAAAGGTTCTTACTTGTATTGGATGATATATGGCGGATTAGTAATGGGGATGATTGGGAAAAACTATTGTCGACACTCAATCAATCACAAGAAAAGGGTTCCATGATTCTCGTCACAACTCGGTTTCAAGCAATAGCACAGAAGGTTAAAACAATTGGCCACTCAATAAAGTTGAACGGTTTAGAATCTGAAGAGTTTAGGAAGTTGTTCCTTGCATTTGTATTTGGTGATGAGCAATGTCCAAGGGATAAACATTTTTTGCTTGAGACTGGAGATAAGATAATGGAAAAACTAAAGGGCTCCCCTCTTGCGCAAAAACAGTTGGTAGATTACTGAGTAAAGACCTTCGTTTGCTTCATTGGAGAAGGGTCCTAAAAAGTAAAGGATGGGAGAAGCAGACTGATGACAATGAAATTATGCCTGCCTTGAAGCTTAGCTATGACTTCCTTCCTTTCCATCTGCAACAATGTTTTGCATATTCTGCATTGTTTCCTGAAGATTGCAATTTCAGAAGCCACGATCTCATCAATCTGTGGATCGGACTAGATATTTTGATACCTAGTGGTCAAAACCAAACATGTGAAGATATAGGTTTGAGCAATTTAAATGAGTTAGTCATTCATGGTTTTTAAAGAGAAGAGGAAACTGATGGTATTTTGTTATATGTCATGCATGACTTACTGCATGATTTGGCATTGAAAGTTGGATCGAATGATTGTCTTAGTTTACGTCTCTCTGATGTTGGATCAGCAGAAATTCAGCCATCCATCCGTCACTTGTCTATAAGCACAGATGACTTAGGTGAATATGATGCAGTATCTGGTGAAAAATTTAAGAGTGAATTGGAAGAACTGAAGACAAGATTGAAGGTTGAACATTTGCAAAGTTTGATGTTACTAGGAGAAATGGATGAAAATTTCGCCAAGATATTTGGTGATTTTTTGTGTGAAGCAAATGCTATTCGTGTTCTTTATTTGCCCAGCATGATGTGTCCCGCGGACTCCATGTTACATAACTATTCAAGACTTGTCCGCCTACGATACCTATATCTAGGGACAGAAGACAACAAGATGCATTTACCACAGAACATCTCTAAATTTTATCATTTAAGGATTCTAGATCTTGAGTCGTGGGATGGCAGTTGTGATTTGCCTGAAGACATGAGCAACCTTGGCAAATTGTGCCATTTTTATGCCCCAGGTGATGATGAGATTCATTCTGATATTTGTAATGTGGGAAAACTTAAACTCTTAGAAGAGTTAAAAGTATTTCGAGTCAGTAAAAAAAGCCAAGGATTTGAATCAAAGCAACTAGAGCATTTGACCAAGCTAAGGGAGCTTGGCATATACAACCTTGAGAAGATACATACAGTAGAAGAAGCAGCTCAAGCAAAACTGTTGGAGAAAAAATACTTGAGGAGGTTAACATTGGACTGGGATAGTGAGCGGTCTAGTGTTGAGCCTGGTGTGGAAGCGGCGGTTCTTGAGAGCCTTCAACCACATGGAGATCTTCAAGTATTGTGCATTAGAGGGCACAGAGGCCCTTCTTGTCCAGCATGGCTGGGTGATCAGCTTGTTGTTGAAGCTCTGCAATCTCTTTGGCTTGATGGTGTTTCTTGGGAGGTTTTCCCTTCTTTAGGGAAGGCGTGGGATCTTCGTGAACTGAGGTTGGAGAATATTGCCGGACTAAAAGAGGTTATCATGGAGAAAAGTTTCTGCATGCTAATAAAGCTTGAACTCATTGGGCTAGGAAGTTATGAAAAATGGGTTTACCCAGCTGAACAAGATTCTTCTATAGGTGGAGACTTGTTGCCACCGGATGCTCATATATTCCCTCTTTTGCAAGTTCTGATCATTAGGAAGTGCCCAAAACTGTTGGGGTTGCCTTTCTCAAACCACATTGTTTTTCCAGATTGGTTCCCTAAGCTACAAGAGCTTGAAGTATGCGACTGTCCAGAATTTTCGTCAGTGATTCCCACGTCCTGGATTGAGAGTCTGCGTCGTGTCATGATTGAACGTGTCAAGCTACTGAAGAGGTTTGCGTACTCAAAATTATCTGATGGAGCAGAATTGAAAATCATTGGATGGGGTGATTTGCAAAGCTTAGATCAACTGTTAGTTTTTGATAAGGAAACATGTATGGAGAAGCTGACACTCGATAGCTGCCCACCTCTGGAGTTGAAGCACCTTCTGAAGTTAACCTCGCTGAAGAAATTAATTGTAGAAAATTCACTTAGTCTGGTTGAACCACTAGGAGGTCAGGGTGATGTGGAATGGCAGCTCCCTGTTGAGCATATCAAGGTCTATGGTTTAAATGGTAATAGTGGGAAGGAATTGACAGAGCTACTCCCTCACCTCCCAAGGCTCTCCATATTGAATATATGGAAGTGTAAAAACATAAAAAAGCTGGTAGTGGGGGTGGATGTGCAACAGACAACATCAGCAGCATCAGATGAAATAACAAGACCATCAGAGGAAGAGGATGATGGGGTGCTGCTCTTACCAGCTCAGGTCTTTGACTCACTACGGGAATTGGATTTCTTTGGCTGCCCAGAGCTGGTCCTGGTGGACCCACCAACTCTTGTTCCCGGAGGAGGAGGTCTCCAAGCCTTGCGATCCCTCCAGAGTTTATTAATAGTGTGGTCCCCAAAGTTTCTATCCGCCTTCTCGTTTTCCTGTCACATTTTTCCTTCCTCCCTGCAATACCTGGAGCTTACTGTGAAAGGCATGGGGACGCTGGAGCCCCTCGCAAACCTCTCCTCTCTTACCAGATTAAGTTTGGAAGGTTGCGGACAGGATCTCAAGTGTCAGGGTTTGCGGTCTCTTCTTACCAACGGAGGCCAGCTCAACAAATTAATAGCCCGTGGCAGCCCTAGGTTCTTTGCTGGTTGGGATCCCAATCCCAGACGGACTTTGGAGGACGTTAAAGGAGGAGAAGAGCAACCGACGCAGCTTGTTTCATCCACACTGCAGGAGCTTTGTACAGATGACATAAGGGGACTCCTTGCTGCACCGATCTGCAGCTTCCTTTCTTCCTCCCTCACCAAGCTGGAACTTCGTGGGTATGGGTCTGAAGGGATGGAGCGCTTCAGCAAGGAGCAAGAGGACGCCCTTCAGCTCCTCTCCTCCCTCCAGAAACTTCAGTTTATGCATTTTGACGATCTTCAGCAACTCCCTACAAGGCTGCGCAACCTTACCAGCCTCAAGATATTATCAATCTACCGCTGTCCAGCCATCTCGTCATTGCCCAACGACGGCCTCCCTAAATCACTTCAAGAGCTAGTTGTTGGATACATGTGCAGCGAGGAGCTAAGACAGCATTGCAGGGGGTTAGAGGGAACCATCCAAAAAGTCATAACATAGACTGATCCAAGGTAACACATCCCTCCATCCCATAATATAAGAGCATTTTTGACACTACACTACTGTACAAAACGTTCTTATATTATGGGACGGAGGGAGTACTTTCTTGGGTTTTTCCACTTTGCCCTTTTCCTGCTTAATAACACTGCATTTGTTCCCATCCACTGTGCAGGAAAATGCCTTGGAGTTCCCTTGTACATTCTTCTAGCTTTGTAGAGCTCTGCTTTTTCCATACATACACACCTGCCACATGCATGATGTGAGGGTCTTGTGGCTGCCGTCTTCCTTCCTGTACATAAATCTGGTAAGTACATTCTAAACTGGAACTTTACTCCTGCTGTACCATATCAGTCCTATCAACTTCCACTTATACCCGCTGCAAAAAATATATCAACTTATGCTCCTGCTATATTAGATTTCCATTTTCTTCTACATGGCAGAAAGTATTTAAGATTTGCTTCTCAACGCCCCTTGTCTTTCCACAAGTCTGAGAAAACCAACCTGATTATCTGCAAGTCTCTCTTATCTTTCCTAGATGTAATTACCAACATAATCTGTGATCACCATTTGGTTTGGTTCTTTGTACAGGTGTTTGTTTGATCTTATAGGTTTCTTCATATTCCGACTTCCTGTTTTGGGTGTTACAATCAAAATATCAGTATGGCATAAGTATGGAACAAATGAGACTTTTGCGTCAAGCTGCTGATATTAAGGTGGTCATTTCTTTCTTCATATTCTGCTATGTTGCTATCAGTACCAGGTGTTCCTGCATTCCTAATTTCTGTTTTCTTGCTTTTCAGGTGTTATAGCGTTTGTTTGGTAGGCTTTGTAGCCACTTATGTTTGCATTTTGTCCAAAACTCATGAAGACCGATGGTATACCTGTAAAGTTCGGTTTTAGGGATTAAAGGATCATCTTTGGCTTAGTTATGGAAAACAATGAGTTGTCAGTGTTTTGCTACTGATAAGGTTTGCAGTTTTGCCATCCAGTCTAAGTTACTGATACCAGGTATACTGATAAGGTTTGCAGCTTTTTTAGTTCAGTCTACATTCTACTAATACCAGATATTCTTTCATTCATCATAATTGTTATTGTTTTAATGGTGTATAGGATCTTCACAGGAATAGTCTGCATACCATAGCAGTGCAACCCTGGAGCCAATTCAGATCATAGGGAGCAGTAGAAGTCTGAAGGTGTTGCATTGCAGGGTATGGGCAATTTTGAAATTTCAAAAAGGCATGATTGCAGCCTATTCATTAATTTTCAGTTTTGAGCTATGAGAAGATTACTTCTTATTTTTTAGCTATAACAGTTTCCAGTGTTCTATCTTTCTAGTCTTCTATATTAAATAGAATACAAGTAAAGCAATTTATTCTGATCAGTCAACAGTGAATCAGGATGTTGGTTAATGCCAGGGATTCACTTGCTGCTAAACTGTTAACAACTGAAACTTGCCTACCTAGTGATGGAACTGTAAGTGCCTCGCCCTGATTAATCTTTTACCTATATTCAGTCAGACATCATGTACTGTTGGTAGCTACTCTCAGTTATGGTGTTGCTTCATGTTCTAGATCAATCACTCCAGGACAGAGAGAAAGAAGTACATAGCCGTGGTTCGCCCAATAGGCCTCCGTGTGGTACCTGCCCATAAGGAGGCTGACATGGGCGTAGGGTGCTTTTTGGTTCACGGTTGAGAGGACTGTCATGAAGCTCAGGTAAGAATTGTGGTAACTTCACAACCTCTTTTAACAAAACATTAGAGAATGCGCTGGGGAGATTGCTTATCTCAATCACAACCATGTAACTGACCTTTATATTTCTGTATTATGGCTTGAACAGGGAGAAGGAAGCAGTTAATAGCCTGATTGTAGAGGCCATATGTGAATCTGACAGGGAAGTGGCCAAAGTTATTATGTCTTGGACTCCTGAATCAGGTATATATGTTTCTTGTGCTGTTCAAACTTCAAACTGTACTTCTTCTTCAGCTCACATGATGATGATTCGCTCACAACTAACAAGGGACTATCTTTATTTAACCCAACAGGCCAAGACCGAAGCTGCCAAGGAGGATAACTGATGAGTGTGTGGCGCATCGTGGGGATGGAAAGATCATGAGTGCGGAGACATGCTGTTGGACATGGACAATCCTACTGCGCGCGCTATACGGCGGTTAGTAGTTTGTTCATTCGGTATATGGCAAAGGCATTTTGACCCCGGCCGGCAGAACCGTGCACAAATACTTACACATCTCCTTTGCAGATGTAACATGGAATGAAGGGTGCCTGCCTGCCTGTTGGCGAAATAAATGGTCAGCTTCTTCTTCTCGACAGAGGAATGCTGCTCGCCCGGCTTGCTTGAAGATCTGGCCTTCATTTGTATTCCAGAGATGCTACTCTGCACGCCTGCTTACTGGAGCACGCACCATTGATCAGGAACCAGACTGCAGCATCTTCTGAAGAATTCGACGCTTGTTGTCATGCTATTAACTGAAGAAATCGACACCCAGCGGTTGGCGCCAAGAGAGGAGATGAGCACCATTTACTGTCGATCGCCTCTGGGAAGATGACCCAGGTGGTAGTGGTGTATGGAATGGGTGCAGAAGCAGAGCCACCCCATTCCAGTCCAATCCAATTTCGCCATCAGGCCTTCATCATGCACATGTCGAACCTGTGAAATTTCTCTTTTGAAGTGTACATTCATTCATAAAAAAGCAAGGAGAAGATGATCTGTGGTCGGTAACCACATGCTATTAGACAATTCTATGTATATTAGACAGTTGGCGCACCTTTCCATCTGCTTACAGTTACACTGAACGTGCTCTGTTCTGTTATTTACTCTGACTCTCAGGTGCTCAACATCACAACCAATGTGTGTTGTGAACGTGTACCATTGTTCACTGCTTCTCTGCTGCTCGTTCATGCTGGTGTGTTTCTTCTTGTTACGGTGTCAGTGTGTACAAAATCAAAAACGGATTTGGAGGCTGTTTTCTTCGAATTTTCCCGAGTGTTGTTGCTCGATGACCACAAAAAAACAGAGCTTAATTAGTTTTCAACGATGCAAAGATTGGCTGTCGATTTCTTTCTTTCTTTGCATGCAGTCGCAGAGTTTTTTGACTGAAACATGCATACAAACAGAGCTCTGCTTTTCAATTAAGCAGAGGGAAAACTGTACATTCACCGGGCCTGAGTTTGCAGTTTAACCCTCAAGATGAAAACAGCAGGAGGAGATAGCAACCTGTGTGCAAGTTGATTGCAACGAGCATGCCATGCCATGCCCATGTTAATTGAATTAACGCTATTTCCACTTCAGTTTTCCTTTTGCAAGTATTCACGTCTCTTTCTTCGTTGGGACGTTACAAATTTAAACGGTCGAACCCACATCTCACCCATGCCCATAGAAAAATATGAATACACCCCAACCACATCCCATGGATTTTCATTTCATTCTTCTTGTATGTTGTTTGTGAAATCTTTTTTATTTGCAGATGACACCCTTTTCACCACTTTTTGGATGCTTCTATAAGCTCTTCGATATTTTCCTGTTTTTCCTTTTATGTGTTTCTTTTTGGTTTCATTTTCGGTTTTTCCATGTTTGTTTTATTTCATTTTTCTTTCCTCTTTTATCTTCCTTTTAAAAATTAATGAGAATTTTAAAATTTCTGCACACACATTTAAAAATTCTTTAGTAATTTTCAAATTCATTAATGTTTTTTCAAATCCATGCATATTTGTAAAATTCACCGACACTTTTTCAAAATACTGAACATATTTTATAATTCATGCATATTTTCGAAATTGTGAATATTAACCCATGAACATTTTAAAAAATCATGACCATCTTTTAAATTTTGTTAATATTTTCTGATTTGTGAAAATTTTCAAATATACCAAAAAGCAGAGAGCCGTTTTTTAGCCGGTCGTCACTGTCTTCTTTTAAGCTAGCGCCATGAGAAAATGTGCTGCGATACATGCTGGCTAGCGACGTGAGAGGAGCAGGAGAGCTAGCGCTACTAGCCCGTGGCCTGTCAAGCTAGTGACGTACGAGCAGGGCGGGCCAGGAATTGAAGACTGTGTATTTAAATTTTGAATTTCTGGCGCGTATAACCGATTATAGTAGTATATTATACTAGTTCTAAACTATATAAAAGATATTGCATAATATATTATATTCATCAAAGTTGATCATAACTTGGCATTGTTCAACATATAGAAGTACAAAATTTTCAACATATTGTGGAAAAATCTAAGATATATAGAGGATAGAAAATAGGAAATGATAAGAAATTTTACAAATTACAGGAGTACTATTCTTTATAGATAATGTCCAATGTAGTAAATTCAAAATTTATAAACATTCTCAAATTACAAATGTAAATGGAAAATTGTAAATTCTCATGTCAAATATTTCACAATCGAATGCAAACAAGTTCTAATTGCACTATAGTTAAATAGGCAGACAAGTGTTCAAACTAACTTACTTTTGTCTGTATGTACTGTAGTGCGACCAACTTAATTCACATCACGAGAAGAAAACTGTGCTCCTGCCTGCAGCGATGGATGTATTCAATTGGACTAAGAAAGAAGAATTGGCATGCGAGGAGACGTCCCAATTTCAGAAGTGAAGGATTAATTAACATCCTATTAGCAATTATACCTGAATATGTGGGTTGTGGCTTTGAAACTGAACCATGCCTGCTGGCTGCTGCCCGCTGCTGGATCAGGACCAGGGTAAGTTTCTCGAGGGGTCGTTTTTTCTTTTGGAGGGTCAGTGAACGAATTAAGTTTCTTGAGGGGTCGTTTAGTAAAAAGTAATGCCATTTTCCCATGATCTCAACCTTCACAGTAGCAATGCGCCATTTGGCGAGACATACAGTTGAACGAATATACTGCAGAGATAACATCTCAAATCGCCACTTGAAAAATGAGACTGGATCAAATTGCTATTTAAAATGTCGTATGCAAAGAAATTCCATTGCTTTTTCATGTGCACCATGCAACCACAAAAGTTTTCCAAATATGGAAAATGCAAACCCAACGCCAACACAACCAACTGGATACTCCCTCCGTCCCGAAATTCATGTCGCAGCGGCCATTTTGCAATTTACTCCTCATCCTTTTCCCGACAAAACCCAAAGTCCCTCTGTGTAGTTGTTTTCTTCCTCCTTGCTCTCCGACCGACTGGCGCCGCTTGCGCCGCTCCCCTCCATGCAGCTCCAAGCCGCCTGTGCCTTCTCTCCCTTCCCCGCGGTTCCTCTCCCTCCCCAGCGCCGGCGCCCTCTACCTTGCGCGCGTCACCGGCGCTCTCTTCCTCTCGCATGTCCCTCCGCACCGGTGAAAATGTGATTTTTCCCCTCCGGCACTCCGATCTGCAGCGGCCGTGCTCAATCTACGTCGGGGACTACCAAGACGGTGCGACGGAGCTGCTTCTGCCGGTCGCCTGCACGGAGCTGCTGCTACCGGTCGTCAGGTGAGGAGCGCGTCTCCTGCAGCCGCGGCTACCTGGCCACGCAGCAGCGGCGACGGGATGGTGGCGGCAAGGGGGATCCTCTGTCCGCTCTAGGACTCCACACGGCCAAGGGGGCGAGCTCCTCCGTCCGCTCTAGGACTCCACACGGCCAAGGGGACGAGCTCCTCCGTCCACTCTAGGACTCCACCGCCAAGGAGGCACGCCCTTGCATCGGGGAGGTGCTCGAGCTTGTCAAAGGTGCTCCTCCCCTTCCCCCTCCAGATCTGATTTGCTGGTGAATTGCAGGTTCAAGTCACTATCTTTGAGCAAGATTTCAGATTTCTGATAATTATACTGAATCTTGAAGTGTACTGTCAACTGAACGTATTGGCAGATTTCATATTTAGACTAAATGTTTACTACTCCTGTCAATAACATACTGAATTTTTAGACAATTTAATCTTGAAGTATAAACTGAATGTTTAGACAGAGTTCTTATTCATGTCTAAGTATAAACTGAATGCTGCTCGTCTTTAGTACTGCTACTGCCTGCGGCTTGAAGTGTCGTGGCGGGGGAGCTAAGGGAGGTGGCCAGGTCCTGCTGATTCGCTCGGTGCCTCTGACAGTCTGATGTCCTGAGGTTTTGAGGCGATTCTGCTCTCGTTTTGCTCGGTGGTTTCTGTCTGGGGAGCTGCTGATTTGGTAGTCTGCCTCTAGAAATGTTTGGAGTTTGTCTGGTAGTCCATGCGTGCTTCATCATGAATTTTCAGAGCATTTGCTGGTGGTTCAGATTTCTGTCTGGGCTTCAGACCTCGGTCTGAATTTGTACTAGTTTTGAACTGAAAAAACAGAGAGATCTAGGTGTGAACTATGAACTAGGAGTTGTACTCACACTGCACATAAAGAAGATGTTGTAAACTGTCTTGGTGAATTTGTCCCAATTGCAGAAAATTCAGTCATTCTAACTGCACATAAAGTAAATTTTAGAATGACTGAATTTTAGAATTTGTTCCAATTTGCTGAAAATACTCCGTGTTCAAGTTGAAAATGGCTGTGGAGGATTTTAGAAAGTGTCATTTGTAATCAGTGTGCTATCTTTTGAGTTGCTGTTCATGGTGGGAAAAAAAGAATGCAGCTTAATCCTGCTATCAAACACTTTGCTCTAACCACTTCTACTCATAATTGTTTGAAACATTATTCACTGTAGTCTCAGTTAACTGAATTTTCTGAAGTCATTTTCCTGCTCACAAGTTGACAGAAAACTGTTTGAAACAAATTTTGACACAAGTTGACTGAAACAAATTTAGAAATCATAGTGCTCCTGTGATTTAGATTCAGTAAACATGACAGTAAAATTGCTCTAAGAGTGCTGACTAAATAAAGGGCTTGCTGTATTAAGCAAATCAATTGACTAAATGCATCTTTAGCTGAATTTACTAAGGTAATATTGGCTGTGTGAGCTGAATTCACAAGGTGAGCATGTGCTACGGCTGTGCACTAACAGTGAGCACATTACCAGTTCTAGTGCATCCTAGTGAAAATCTACCCCAGTCCAGTGCATCCTTTCATATAAATCCATGATGCACATAAATTTGGTCACAGTAAGTACTCCAACAGTGATTACAGTCAAAGTGAATTTCAGATGATTGCTTTTTCAATTACTCCATTCAGTGTAATTCACTTTCAATTTCAGTTTTTAGTGCAATTCACTTTGAATTTCAACTAACTTTCATCTGGACTACTGTACGACTTTCCTATCAGCCGCTAGCAGCAGCAGCAACAGCACAGGCGTGGGAAGGCAATTGGAGGCAGCAGCAGAGTTCGTGAATCGGGGGGCGTCGGCGTCGGCCACCACCAGAAGAGGCGTCGCCGCCCACCAGCAGCAGGTGGTTCCCCTTCTTGGTGCTACTCGTCAGCAGCAGCTGGCGGTCGAAGCGGGCCTTCGCGGGGGCGATGCGCGGCAGAATCAGGGGCGGCGACCTGTGTCCTAGGTGGCGCCGGTCCTGCTCATTGGTGGGCGGGCGGCGGAGATCCTGCTCGTGGGTGGCGGAACGGCGCGCCGGCGGTGGGCGGCGGAACCAATTGGCCGAGGCCCCGCTCGTGGTGGGTGGGTGGCGGAGGTCCTCCTGGGCGGGCTCGTCGGCCGCGCAGGGCATGTTTGTCGGCGTCCTCCTGGGCGGGCTCGTCGGCGGCGTAGGACCTGCTCGAGCAACGGGCGGCTGGCCATGGGGGGTGGGGCCGCGTGGGCGATGGACGGAGGAGGAAGAAGGGGACGGGGACTTATTTGTCAGAGCTTTAAAAGCATAAGGGTTTTTTTGGAAAAACGCCACTGTACTGCGCTCACGACATGAATTTCGGGACGGAGGGAGTAGTTTTTTTTGAGAAAAAACTGGATAGGCCGAACAATCTCATGTACGGGCCGAATGGGCCGAGCTGTTGGACCGTTCAAGATTTGCGGGTCAGCCCACTTTAGCAAAGGACTCGCATAGTTTCCGGTACTGAAAAAAAAAGGTTTCCAGCGTGCGCCTCGAGCAAATCCACCCCCTCCCTTCCCCAAAACCCCCACCTCGTCGGCGCCACCACCATTGCCGCCGCCGGAGAACCCGCCCTCTGGAGGTGCAGCCGCCCGCTGATACCACCGCCCTCTCCGCCGCCATGATTTGCGCAAGTAAGCCCTCGTCTCTTGCCCCATCCCTACCACCGAAACCTAGCTCTACGGCCCCGCTCCCTCTCCTATTTCCAAGCACTAACCCGCCGCTTCCTCCTGCCGCTGCGCCCTCCCCTCTCAAGTCTCCGGCGAGGTGCCGGAGGACCCGGTCTTGTCGACCAAGTCGGGGCTGCTCTTCGAGCGGAGGCTCATCCAGCGCTACGTCGAGGTCACCACCGTCTCCCCCGCTCTAGGTTTGGTTTTGGTTGGCCTAGGACCTTTGCACTGAATCTGTTTGGTTTTGGTTCCCCAGGACCATGGGAAGTGCCCGGTCACCAAGGAGGAGCTCGCCATGGACGACCTCGTGACGGTGAAGACCGACAAGGTGAGGCCCGCAAACTGTTTCTCTTTCCCTCAATGCGGTTCCAGTGTTTATCTTGTTGTTCTGGAGAACCTGTTCAGACGCTAGGGTTCGGTCATGAGCCTCGCCGATGCCTGCTAGTGCCACACTTTGTAGTCGCCTGCTTTGGATTGGGTGTTTGGTAGTCCTTGACTTACAATCACACCATGTGGCAATTTATTGTTACATCTTACTAGTATGTATGGGGTGACAGTATCTTACTTGTGGAGGACATATTAGTTAGCCATCATGTTCAGGATTCTCGGGTCGAAGGTTCTCCACATATGTTATTAGTAACCCCGGGAAGGAATTAGCCTGTCTCGTAGTACGGTTTTGCTACTTCAGAAAGATATCTGATGGGTTCTCAATCAGACTTACATAATGGAACAAGGACAATAAATTAGGTTTTAGGATTTGCGGTGATTTTGTATTCTTTTGCATGGTTCAAGTCGCCATTTGCACTGACTGGGTAAATGCGTTCGAGCAGGCACCTGTATTTCCACACAATGTCCATTACCTACATAAAGGTTTTAGCCATGAGCGTGTACTGAAATTAAAACAGTAATCATGTATTAAGTATTAACCACCAGTTGATTGAAATATTGGTTTGTTAGATAGGGTTGATCTTTGTGATAATCTATTATATCCAAACCACAATTGATAAACCTGACTCAACATGTATGCATGCACCATTACTTGTGGGGCTGAAACTTCTAGCTTAGAGAATGGCAAAAGAAATCGACATCCTACTTGTTTTTTAAGGCTGACACTCATACCTTGTTAAAATAAACTAGTTGCCGTACTCTCATATGTTGTGTATAGCTGTCAATTGAAGAACTATCGTTTTTGCAGATTCCTAAGCCTAGACCTCTGCAAGCTGCAAGTGTCCCTGGACTCCTTGGTATGTTTCAGAATGTGAGTGCCTGCTTCCTTCTGTTTACAGTTTATATATTTGATTTTGTAGTCATAGTAATTCTTAAGCATGTTCTTTGTATTGGAGTCCATTGTTGTAACTTTTAAGAATCAAGTTAAGTTCTTTTGCCTAAAGACTGGATATGATTCACAATGTGCTTATGTTTAGATTCAAATAGGAAGAAATGAGCAGTAATTGAATATGAACACATTTGGCTCACATAATTTCCCTTTTGCTCTTTGACATTTTAAGACGACTCATGATTTTGTTTTCATTATGTAAGACTACTGAAGTCACTTCCTTTTTTATGTGGGTATTTAGTGCCATGAAAAACCGTAATAATATTGAGATATTCTAAACTGTACAAAAGTATTATGCTTTTATTGTACTTCCAGCTTGTTGGTAATGGGTATGGTGAAGCATTTGATCTTTCTGTTGTTAAATAGTTGGGAATTCTTATCGAGCTGCAAGTGCAGATTAAGACTTCTTTCCTCTGATGTTGCAGGAGTGGGATGCTCTCATGCTGTCTAATTTTGCTTTGGAGCAGCAGCTACATACAGCAAGACAAGAGCTCAGTCATGCGTTATACCAGGTTTTCCAATCTTTCCAAATAGTGTCTTGAATTATACACTTTTTTATTGTGTTCAACAATAAAGTATTCTTCCTTTAAAAGTGCAAGTGCCATTTGATATCAGGATCTTGATAAAACCTCGCAGTTGCCAGCTAGTTAAGTTTCTGACATTTCAGCCTTATGGATGTTTGTGAATGTGCTTAGAGGATTTCGGAGCTTTATACAGCCATAGCTAGGACATCTTTGTGGATCACTTGGATAGGAGGTTCCATAAATTATTTCTAGAGACGCTTTATTTTTTAGTCTTCTTTCATGAGCATGATCATCATGTACCCGTTGGTTTTTACTAGCTTGTTTTGCCCATTTCCAGCATGATGCTGCTTGCCGTGTTATCGCCAGACTAAAGAAGGAAAGAGATGAGTCTAGGACACTTTTGGCTCAAGCTGAAAGGCAGATTCCTATTTCAGCTGCAGGACCTGCGCCTGTAGCTGCTGTTACAAATGGGAAAAGAGGTTTTCACCGTTCTAACATGTCAAAAGCTAACTTTTTTGTCTGTTTTGCTCTAATCCTCTTTCCTGGATACACAGCTTTGGAAGATGAAGTGGGTCCTGATGGGAAGAAGATACGTCCTGGTATTAATCCTGTCATGATCGATGAATTAACAGAATGCAATTCCGTGCTCTCAGCACAGCGCAAGAAACGGCAGGTGTGCATCTCTTCTCCCTAACAATCAATTAAAGGAGGACCTGAAGTTTGCTGTTTGTCAAACATGTCCTGTTTTAGTTCATAGGAAACTTGATATGTCCCTCTCTAAACTTGTGTACTACATGCCTTCTAGATCAGATCATATAAACATTATATGCCAAAAATAATTGTGGTTTTTACCCACTTGTTTTTTTGTCTTGTTTTGTTGAAATGGTACACTAATTTCTGTTTTTTGTCAGGTACCTCCAAGTTTGGCACCAATTGATGCACTTGAAAGATATACTCAAATCTCCAGTCATCCACTTCATAAGACAAACAAACCAGGGATTTTATCTATTGATATTCATCATTCAAAGGTCAGATTATTTCAAGTTTAGTTTGAAAAAGTGGTAAATTGTATGCTTGAATAGTGACACTGCAATGATTGTTGTTTACTTACCTAATTGATTTCTGTATTTATCACCAGGATATTATTGCTACTGGGGGTATCGATACAAACGCAGTTCTTTTTGATAGGCCATCGGGTCAAGTCTTGTGCACTCTCACTGATCACTCAAAGAAGGTCCATGGCCAAACTCAAACTCACTGACTCTCTCCCCATCATTTTACATCTACATATGTTAATATAGCTTATTTCCTATGCACAGATTACAAGTTTGAAATTTGTTTCCCGGGATGAGCTTTTGATAACCGGATCAGCAGATAAGGTACACCTACTGCATAGTAGTAAAGTAAATCATTAATGTGATATTAGCTATATCAATATCAGTTCTAGAAAACCTTTTGCATTCACTAAGTTTTCATTCTGATGATTTGGGCTCCCTTACATAAATGATTAAAGGATAATTTATTGACCCAGTAATCTGATAATACCATAATCATCACACAACTCATCATTATAGGCTTCACTCTTCTGTTTGTAAACTCTGCAGACTGTCCGTGTATGGCAAGGCAATGAAGACGGAAGTTATGGTTGCAGGCACACAATGAGAGATCATGGTGCAGAGGTTAGTTTGCATTGACATTTGTTTCTGGTGAATGCCTGCTTATTTGATGTTTGCAATCGACCTTTCTGCGTTACAGTGTGCACAAAATTTTATTAGGCACCAACTGGTGGCCAGGGGTTGGGGGTGAGTGAGTGAGCAGGGATGGGTAAATCTAGAGCAGACGGTCAAGGAAGAGACCAGAGCTGGACTTTAGGGATTTGAGAAATCTTCTTGGTTATTCATAATGAAATCATATGAATGCTTAGCCTAAGCAGCCGGTGAAGGAAGAGACCGGAGCTGGACTTTAGGGATTTGAGGAGACTTCTTGGTTATTCATAATAAAATTATATGAATACTTAGCCTAAGCAGCTGGTCAAGGAAGAGACCGGAGCTGGACTTTTAAGGGCTTTGAGAAGACTTCTTGGTTAAAATTATATGAATACTTAGCCTAAGCAGCTGGTCAAGGAAGAGACTGGAGCTGGACTTTAAGGGATTTGAGAAGACTTCTTGGTTATTCATAATGAAATTATATTAATACTTAGCCTACATAGCCAGTAGCCCAATACATGAAGATTGGAAACAAATAATCAACTCAGTATCAATTCATAAAATTACATGTTACAAACCATGACACTTATTTTGGAACAGAGGGAGTAACCAATAAGCTGCTCACATCCATGACGGTCAATCTGCTATAGAACTTGCTGTTGCATGGCAGTCAATTTGCTATAGAACTTGCTGCTATATTGTCAGTTCTACTTGTTGGTTGAATGAGCTCGGATAAATAGGAAAATAGTCTGCAATATGCTAGAGACTCCAGTTTTTGTTTTTTCTCAAGAACTATAATATTATTGGCTTGTTCCCTTTTCGTGCATGCAGCGATGCTAGCTAGCAGAGGATGTTTTTGCATTCTTTTCATGTGGATCCTGTGCATTTTCTGTATTTTGTTATTTAATAATCTCGCTGTTGATGCTGCTCGTTGTATTATCTTACGTTCTGATTTTTCTTTCTGAAAATGTACCAGGTTGAAGCTGTGACGGTCCATGCTAGTCAGAAATACTTTGCAACTGCCTCCAGAGATAGCACATGGTGCTTTTATGATATTTCAACAGGGTCTTGCCTCACACAGGTCTGGTACTTTGCCTAAATTTCCAGAAGCATGCACATCTAGAGATTTATCATTTTGACAAGTGCTGTTATTCAGGTTGGCGAGGCTTCTGGACAAGATGGATACACATCAGCAGCTTTCCACCCGGACGGTCTTATACTTGGAACAGGCACGTCAGAAGGTGTTATCAAAATTTGGGATGTAAAATCTCAGGTAAGACAAGGCAAAAATACTATTCAGATTATATTCAGGTTGACGTCCATGCCATCCTCTTCTAATGTCTCATGTCGTGATTGAAAATTTATATTTGCAGACAAGGGTTGCAAAGTTTGAAGGGGAGGTCGGGCATGTTGGAACAGTGACTGCTATGTCCTTCTCAGAAAATGGATATTTCCTAGCGGTATGTTCTTTCTTTTCTTTTCTTATAAGATCGAATTCTGTGGAAGTCGAGATCTTTGCACAATAACTCTGGATCACTTGCTGTTTCATACTGATATTTCCACCATCACTTTACAGACCGCAGCCCTTGATGGTGTCAAGCTTTGGGATCTACGAAAATTGAGGAATTTTAGGACCCTGTCTCCATACGATCCAGACACACCAACAAGTTCTGGTAAGGAGATCTCTATTTTTTTTAAAAGAAATACGAAAGTACCGGGTTTCTACATAAATTGCAAGTTGAAATTTGGAAGAGAACTGCTCAAACTAATGTGAAATAAGGCTTCCATACAACCAGAATCCGTATTTTCATGAATGACAAGACATTTTTCTCTTGCAGTGGAGTTTGACTTTAGTGGAAGTTATATCGCCGTTGCTGGTTCTGATATAAGGTATGCTACCGACCGATCCAACTTAGCTGCTTGGTATTATTATACTGTAAGAAATGAAATGGCTCAGCTCACGATACGTTGTTAGCTTTGCGCTGAATATAACCTCTTGTGCATAATGGTTGCAGGGTTTACCAAGTGGCCAATGTCAAGACGGAATGGAATCTTGTCAAGACATTACCAGATTTATCCGGCACAGGTTTGATACAGTATTTCTTCTGCTCTTGTCCAGTGTCGCGGGGTCCTTTGTCGAGGGTAAATTAACATGGCTGTGCCTGTCCTTTCCAGGGAAAGTGACATCGGTGAAGTTTGGGGCAGATGCTAAGTATGTGGCCGTAGGTTCCATGGACCACAACCTGCGCGTGTTCGGGCTCCCTGGAGATGAGCAGATGGAGGTGGCAAAATGAGAATCAGCGGAGCAATGAGTAGACGACGATACATGTTGTCGCCACAACCATTTTGCCTTTGGTGGTTAGCCCTGCGCGTCTTGTCCAGGATATGCTTGAAAGAGGAATGCATGTCCCCGAACTGAAGCAGCCGGGCGGTCCAAGTAGCTGAGCAAACCTGCTGGGTGAGCCGCATGTTTTTGTAGTTTGATGATGATGTTTGCGCCGAAATATGTAGGATGCAGAAAGGCTTTCCGCAGCTGGGGTGGGTCATAGGGTGTGCGTGTAGACAGTACCCTAGGTTTTGGATTTATATTATGTATAGGTCGAATTACCAGGCATATGGTTGAACTTGAACTGCACGAGGCAGGCAGAAGCGACGTCGAGGATTCCGCTATCCTGTCGACATGGATTTCTAGGGTTTTTCCTGGACCGGGGCCTTGGTTTTTCCGAGGTTATAATTGTGTTCCCTTCCAACAGAGGTTAAACATTCAAAACGCTTTCTGTGGTTGAACTTGGCAGTCAGCGAGGTTGGCGTCACATCCGAGTCACTGGTGAGCGACGGTGTTGTCACTTCGTCTTAACCACGATGGCTACATATGTAGTTAACCACGATGGAATCATATCTGGTCAGTTGCTGTACTACGCTACACAACTTTTGTATGTGGCGAAAACCCGCTGAAATATTCCTTTTGACTTGTACATAGAAGAAATTACACAGGGCCGTACCTCACAAAACCGACACTGGCCCTGCGCCAAATCAAAATTTAGGCGCATTTAAAAATGTCAACCAAAATATTTTAATTAATCATCCCGTTTGTACAATACTATTGCTTTTTCAAAGAACTAAAACAATTTGGAATAATTGGGCCTGAACGAAAGAACTCAATGAATATGAGTCACCCGCTGGGAAAAGACCCCAGTGCATTGGTATATTTGAAGCAGCCGTGCAGTTCATTGCCCTCCTTTGAGGAAAATGTGAAATCACTAGCGAAGAATCAAGGAGGAGTTGAAGATTTAATTTATTGTTATTTAATCTGATCTTTTGCACGAGACTAGGGAACAAATGAGTCAAGGAAGTGAGAGAGCTTCGGAGGTTCTTCGAACGAGAAAAATACTGCTCGTTGTCTTGGGTTCCATCACACGAGTCTCTTTTACTTCAGCTCTTATACTCAATCAGGCCTAGCTAAATCCCTTGATTAGCATTACACATCGGCACCATTACAGACTTTTGCATAAGCTCATCATGAAAATAGACCCACCCAAATCTCATAATCTAAAAAAAATAGGGCAAAAAAGAAACCATATTCGAGAGCTTTTCCGCATAGGAGCTTATTTATTTTCACCGGAATTCTCAAGCCAGTCCCTCCACAAGCTTAATTAAGATCAATAGAAAGCCTCAATACAACACACATATACAACGACATCTTTCATCTTACATATGTATTCTCTTATCTATTACTACTTTCGATCCATAATAGGTGTCGCAGTTTTGAAATAATCCTAGTTCAACCTTCGCATGTGGCGCAACGTTAGTTGACTGCTCAGAGAGGCTCACCGGAAAGCCATCTATCGATCATAGCAAGACACTCCCTTGGCATGTACTCCGGGGCTGTGTGTCCGGCACCCTACATGCGCACTTATTTAAATTAACCAGCTCATAATTTATTAAATTGCATTCTACTAGCCTGCAAATTTTCTTTTTTGCATTCTACTCCCTCCGATTTTGAAATATAAAGGGTGTTAGTTTTTTGAAAAGTCAAATGTTTCTATCTCTGACCAAGTTTATAGAAAACAGTACCAAATAAATAAAGTATTAAAAATATATGACATGGTGTATCCAGTTATACTGATTTGCTATTGTTGTTATTGGTATTTTGCTCTATAAACTTGGTGAAACATATAGTAGTTTGACTTCTGCAAAAATTAACACACCTTATATTTAGAAATGGAGGGAGTACTTGGTAAAGCTGGTACGGATTCTAACTAGCTTTGGTAAACTAAATCCAACCACACGTACCTTTACAGTTGCGTATGTCAGATTGTTGGAGAAAGTTCTTGTGTATCTGTTCAAATTATGAGAAACAAAAGCGATGTATAAGGCACCAAATGGTTTGGATATTTCAGTATGGACCACATACGGACTAAAATGAGTGAACAAACATACTGAACCCCGTCTACATACATTCGATTCAGAAAAAAAGTTAGAACATCTTATAATTCGGAACGGAGGCAGTAATATGTAGTATGAAATACTCACTGCGCGCGCACACAATGAACCACGACTGTTCACTTCCACTAATAAACTCAGTACTGTTTCCACCCAACACTAGAGCCAGAACAATAAGTTGTGGGTGGGTGTCCTTACCCCACGATTTGGTCGTCCACATGCCATGGTCGCCAAGGATCTGTGATGGGCAGCTTAAGTCGTCTGATCCATGCTTGGGTGTCAACATAAGATACTTTAGGGTCATGGTCTCCACTGCAGCGTCATGAGAAGACGAATCTAATTAGTTCTTGCAGGGGTAATTAAGCGACTCTGCTCAATCAAGTGTACTATATATATTTCCATAATTAAGGGGATCAGAGAGAGGCTGCATGCATACCTATATATCATAGCCCGGTATCCTCTAGTAATCAGGGCTGCATGATCATCTACCGCGCTGGTGATTTCATGTGTGTAAGGTAGATTGACATCACATCGTAGCCATGATGGAACTGTTCCCTGCACAGTAGTACATACGACCATATGCAATAAAATAAGACCTTCGTTATGGAGGGAAGAGGGGCTTCTTTATTTACCTTGTGAATACCCAGACTCTCCCTTACAGCTTCGTCATTTGTCCATAACTCGGATAGGAAGTATGTGGCATTCTGCATCAATCAAATGAAGCGCAACAAGTAAGATGTCGATACACTTAACACCGCACAATCAGAATAGCAAAATCAAAGCACTACTTTGTTTGGAAATAAATAAATAAATGAATACAAGGGAACAAGAAATGAAAATGAAAACTGAGAATAAACCAAGATGATTATTACTCCTTCATCCGAAAAAGTTTATCCCTCAAATGAATGTATGTAGCATCAAATTAGTGCTAGATACAACCATTTAAGGGACAAGTTTGAGACAAGATTTTTCAGACGGAGGAAGTGTTACCCTGCACACGGACGAAAATGCGGACTCTGTTAGCATTTTCCTCCCATGGTCTTGCAACGGTTGCTGCTTGTGAATGGTGAGGCTTGGATATTCTTCACACGCTGGCTCCAAGACGTGTACAGTGTTTAAACCCCTCATGCACTGTATCCCAAACCAAAAATACTGATCAAGTCATCAGCTAGCAAGCTACTACTCCCCGCAATTTATTTTAGAAAAAATCAAGCTACTACTGCTAGCTAAGTGTTTCGTGCGTTGCTACCGGGATAATCAACAAATTCGTGGTTGGTACTGGCACTCACCTCTTGGATGGCTTGGAGGGAATCGGCACAGTGGGCGTTCGATGCCCAACGGTATTCCCCCCCGCAGCTTTCACGAGCAGCCTGTAAGGTGAATAATAATACAAGCTAATCATATTTTATGCACCCGCGGACTAACTGATTTATAGGTGAACTATATATTGTTCCATGATATTCCAAATCGATAGTGATGCACTTGACCAAATTCAGTATTTAAGTTAAATGATATCAATTTTAATTCCGGCCGAGAGGCATTATCTTTGACTTGAGAGGTAGAAGCAAGCCGATACCAAATGTAATTTTGCACTAGTCATTTTCGTACAACATGCACGTAAATTACTCGAAGAAATGATAAACTTAAATATTTAGTTATATATCACCTCGTAGAGTTCATCTGGTATAATTCCCATCCCATGAAGAAATGGAACTCGAGCGTTGAAGGTCGTCGTGTTATCGGTTAATGGATTGCCAGCAATGACACCCTGATCAATTAAGATAAATTTCCATGTTGGTAGAATTCTCACTTCCTTACAAAGCTTATGTAAGGATCGCAACTTCACATATCTATAAGCATGCTAAACATATTATAATAACCTTGGTCAACCTCTGTATCTGAGAGTACAAATATGCAAAGGTCATGGAGAAGTTCTAGCTTAACCTACGATGAACAATAAAAAATAGAAGAAGAAAAATCAAATAAAAATCTGAAAATTTGTGGCTTCAGAGATGCCCAAATGTTTTAGGTGCTTACAAAAGTTCATGGAGAAATGACAGCCTATGAGCTAAAAAAAACACATCACTCATAAATGCTCAAACTACTTTTTATCTGGAGCTCCTCGGATATCATTTTGCCATCAAATTTTGTAAGCACCTAACACATTTGTGCATATTTGAAGCCAAACAATTTCAGGATTTATTTTATTCTTCTACTTTTTTGATTTATATTGTTTATCAAGGGTACAATGCACCCATGTTTAGAAGAACCAGTCTCCAAAGGTCATTGCAAAGGTTCAACCACCCAAAAAAAGCATCAATGACCATATAAAAGGCATGGGGGTGAATTTCACCCAACCATTGTAACCATGTTTTGAAACCATTGAAGTTTAATAAATTCATAGATCTGATCCAGATACATGTTTGAACATAAATATTTAAGTTAAAACATAAACTACAGTTTTCAATGTTGTGTTATTAAACAAAACTTTCTTGGCCTTGATACAAAGGGAACCTGGCCCTGCCTTATCAATTCATTTTCTGTAAGATTATTTGTTCAATTATTTGACTTAGATGTAAGCAACAAAGACTTGTGTAGACATGAAACTCTAGAAGTAGATCTTAGACCATCTCTAGTGTTGACCAAAAGCGAATTTAAAACTCCTTCAAACCGATTACATAAATTGCAGCTACCAATGCTAAATGTTCAGAGGAGAAAAGCGACACACCAGAGCGCCTTGTGTTTCATCCGTGCAAAGGGATAGGGACCATGGAGGAGCATATTTTCTTTTCTATTCCATATGATCTCCATGTTTAGTTGTTGGAGCTTGTTCTTACTCCCTCCGTCCGTGAATAAGTGTACTTCTAGCTTTTGTCTTAAGTCAAAGTTTTAAAACTTTGACCAACTTTATGAAAAAAAGTAGCAACATTTATGACACTAAATTAGTATCACTAGATCTGTTTTGAAATGTATTTTCATAATATATCAATTTGATATCATATATGTTACTACTTTTTTGTATATAGTTGGTCAAAGTTTTAAAACTTTGACTTAGGACAAAAGCTAGAAGTACACTTATTCGCGGACGGAGGGAGTACACTGGAGCAAAATAGTTAACCATTCCAAGTTCCTACTTTTTGATTTGAGTTGATTCACCACTAGAGATGATCTTAAAGGTCCTGGAAAGAGAATGGTAAACATCACAAGAACACAAATATGAAACTTGAAATTAATATGTTGCAAGAGAAGTCATTAAAGTAATACCTTGAGGTTAATGAGTCGCTCATTGCCGAGTTCTATCCCTAGAATGAAAGCGTCATGTAGGTTAAAAGATGCACTTCATGCTCACAAAAGAAATGCACATGCTTTGAATAAACTATTAAGGAGAACAATCGGTGTTGATAGAGATGGAGAGTGTGAATGAATTGTTCAATTACCTTTAGCAATTTTCATAGCAAGAGAAGGTATGATTAAGCCGCTATATGAATCACCTGAAATATAGAGTGGATTTGGCAAGAACTGCGGATGTTCATCAAACCACTGTGAAGACAAGGAAACAATTGGAAAATTGTACCGATGATATTAACTTATACATTCTAGTCGAAAAAGCGTATAGATTAGAGCAGGTGGAGAGTGTAACCAACCGTTTCAAGGAAAATGTGCAGCTGTTGAACAGCAATTGTGTCACTTTGTATGGTTCTCTTGTCTCCGGCCGCATATGAGAAGCCTGTTCCTACCGGAGAATCCACGAAGATGATGTTGCTAACCTACAATATACGGAAGCAACACATTACAATACAATACATAACTTGCAAAAACCAAGTCTTACATTGTGGAATGGAGGGAGCATATTTTTTACGCAACTACACATTACAATTCTCCTCTAGAAGGAGGGGCTCTTAATTTTGTTGTATCAACTAACCCCGCATCATAAAAAAAATTCAGGTGGTCGTAGCAAAAAGTTGGAAGGACCTTTTTGTAATAACAAAACAGAAAAAAAAAGTTTAACCTTTGTCCAAGACGATGGCTGGTAGAGCAGAGTAGGCAGGCCTCCCATGTAGCCATGGAAGTCAAAGTTGAAAGGGCCGATCTCGTAGGCGAGGCCGGAGAGGGCGGAGCAACCGGGCCCGCCCGTGAGCCAGAGAAGGACGGGGTCCTCCTCCGGGTCGCTCTCCGACTGGATGAAGTAGTAGAAGAGTTGGGCGCCGTCGTCCAGCCCCACGTACCTGCACCACGTGGACGTTGCATCATCATCATCCGAGGAGCGGGAGGAGGAAGAAGACAGAGAGCAGAGCACATGTATAGTATACGCACCCTGTTTCGAGGGAGAAGGGCAGGGGTCCGCTGAAACCGGGCAGCCGCGGCACGGCTTTGGTGGTGATAGACGGCGCTGCGGCGGAGAAGAAGGGATGGAGGAGGAGCAGCAGCAGGGATAAGAGCACAAGCGGCGGCCGGTGGGGCGGCGGCGTCGTCGCCATAGCTAAGCTTGACTCCATCGCCTTAGCTATGTGGCAAGCTTTGCACTAGCTGACTTGATTTGTTTGGATCGATGTTGGGACTGACCATCTGCTAGTGGAGTACTACACACGTACGAGAGACGAATTGAATAGCGTACCTACCCTCGTGTGTGAATCAACACATGAGAGAGACCATGAAAAACATGCATGCACTACCTGTACGAGTCAGGTCAGGTGAGGTCAGCATCATCGTCGTCGCGTACCCCTCAAATCATGCTAAACTTAATCAGACGGGTCAAAACAGTGAAAATATCCCTGTTGTGCAGTGGCGCTACACCTACTGGCACTGGCAGGCAGGCAGAGTTACCGGGGATTTATGCAAGTGGACGCCCGCGCCATCACTTAAATTCAGGCAGGCAGAGTTACTCGGCGGTCCAAGGCAGGCAGAAGCGGCGTTGAGGATTGTGCTACCCTCCCTACATGGTGAGCGTCACAGCTGAGTCACTGGTGAGCGGTCCAGTGCTGTCACGTCGTCATAACCACGGTGGATGCATATGTAGTTGGGTTAATTAAGATGGGTCAGCTGCAGTAGTACGCTACACACTGGACGTCGACGCCGACGTACCGGAAGAGCATACACCCGGGCCGTCCCTGTCACTGTCCAGTCTTTTTTTTTTACCCAGACGGCCATCTTAAACGTGCCTCAAACGTCCGGCTGATCGACACCCTCATATCCAGCCTAAATATGGGGCTGTTATGAAGCGCCCGGGCATGCCCGCCACATCGGTCTGACGGCGGGGTCCCATGCGAAAACGCCCGAAAATCCGGCGGTCCGACGGACGCCGCATCCGTCGTCGCAGTGTGGACGCCGCGTGGCGCCGCTCCGGCTTGCCGTTCAAGACCAAATCCGAGTATTTAAGCCGGACTGCGTCCCGCAACCCTAACCCATCCACCTCCTCCATCTCCTGCTTCGGCGCTCTGCCCACGCTCCGGCACCACGCCATGGTATGGAGCAAGATCACCTACTACGCCATGCTGACGCTGGAGCACTGCTACGAGATCCAGCAAGAGATCCGGGCAAGGCAAGCCGCGCGCCGCCCGCATCGTTGCCGGCCTGCCTCCGGACTCGCCGGAGCCGGAGCCGGAGGAGGAGGAGGAGCAGCCGGGGGAAGAGAAGGAGAAGGAGATGACTTCGATAGAGGTGGAGGAGGCGGAGGAGCCGGACCAGCAGGTGCCAGCCTTCAACATGGAGCAGTCGGATGCGGAGTTCGCCGTCATCTAGTCCGACGAGATGGCCGAGCAGCAGGCCATCTTGGAGTCCATCCAGGATGAGACCTATGTGAAGGCCAACCGGGGGTTCCTCCGGCGGGAGCAGGCGGGGTCCGAAACGCTCTTTGCCGAATTCAACGCGGAGATAGAGGCGGAGGAGGCCAGAGTACAACAGCCGGAGCTGCAGCTGCCGCCCATGCTGCCGGAGCCGGGCACGGAGATCGCCATGATCTCCGACGAGGAGTAGCTAGGATCGACATAGTACGTAGGTTCTACTTTTTTCGCATGTCTTTGTATGCATATAAGAATCGAGTATGAGATATCCGAAGCAACAAGTGAAATTTGAGGCGTGCCCGGTCACTGCCCATGTCCATGCCCGGACGCGTCCGTGGATATTTAAGAGGCCATATTTGTCATATATGATTGTAGTAGATGCTCTAACACGGCGTTCATGTCGATCGACCCCATCCATCCACAGCGACCCAGCATAGCACCAACCAACATGTGCACGCAACTTGGCTGCTACCGACGATATTTGATGCGACTTTGATAGCTTCACTAGGAGTACCAAGGAGTATACAGCATATGGATGAGCTTTTAACTGTAACTCCTTTTTGTATGTGGAGAAAACCCTTTTTGTTTGACTTGTACTAGTACATAGAAATCATACATACGTTGGCACCATTATATTACAGGCCTTTGCATAGGCTCAACGTCCACCCAAATCTCATAATCTGAAATGAATAGGACAAAAGAAAAACAGAGCTTTTTCCTGTGGGAGCTTATTTATTCATTTCCACCGGCTCCCCCACAAGCAGTGGCGGTGCCAGAAGTTCAAGTATGTGATGTCAATTTAAACTTATAATGTAAAATACATGTGTATTTACAAATTTTCTACCATCTTCGGCATAATTTTTACTTGTAATTAAGAGTTTCACCAAAATGTTGTGTGGTCAAGTGACTACACTGCTTGAACGTGGCTTCGCCACTGCCCACAAGCTCAAGTAAGCTCAATGAATGCGCACGGCTCAAAAGCCGCGATACAACACATACATGTCTATTCTCTTATTTGTCACTTATACAATACACATTGCTAGCAATCTTCTGCACTGCCACATCATCAGTTGATCGCTCAAAGAGGCTCACCGGAAAGCCATCTATCGATCATAGCCAGGCACTCCCTTGGCATGTACTCCGGGGCTGTGTGTCCGGCACCCTACATGCACACTTATTTAAATTAACCAAATCACAATTGATTTTTTACTTACTCCGTCCGGAATTAGTTGACGCTCAAACAGATTTATCTAGCATTAAAATACGTCTAGATACATAAGTTTGAGCGTCAGCTAATTCCGGACAAAGTAAGTACTAGATTACTCCCTTTATAACTTAATACTCCCTCTGTTTCTTTTTAGTCCGTATATAAGGTTTGGTCAAAGTCAAGCTTTGTTGAGTTTGACTAACTTTATATTAAAAAATATAAACATTCACAATATGAAATCAATGTTATCAGATGCATCATTAGTTTTAGTATTGTAGATGTTTATATATTTTTATATAAATTTGGTCAAACTTTGTGTAGTTTGACTTTGACCAAATCTTATATGCAGATTAAAAAGAAACGGAGGAAGTATAAGATGTTTCTTTATACTATCATAGTGTCAAAATATGTCTTATATCAAGTTAAAGAGGTAGTACTTGTTATGGATGCTAACTAGCTTTGGTAATTAAGCTCAAGTTAAACCTGAAAGCAGTTAATGGCGCACGTACCTTCACGGTTACGTATGTCAGATTGTTGGAGTAAGTTCTTGTGTATCTATGCAAAACAAGAGAAAGAAAAGGCGACGTGTAAGGCATCAATATGTGAACTACGACTGCTCAGCTTTCCACTATAAACACACTAGGCCTCTGCACCAGAGGTGCACACAGCCAGAACGTATAAGTTGTGCTGGGTCGGCGTCCTTACCCCACAATTTGGTCGTCCAGATGCCATGGTCGCCAACGGTCTGTGATGGGCAGGTTAAGTCGTCTGATCCATGCTTGGGTGTCAACATAGGATATTTTACTGTCATGATCTCCACTGCAGCATCATGAAACAACGAATCTAGTTATTAGCTTACGGTTGTAATTAATTAAGCGACTGTTCACCCAAGTGTATATTTCCATCATCAAATGACTATTCAGGTGAAACGTATATTAGCACGCGTGCTTACCTGTATATCATAGCCCGGTATCCTCTAGTAATCAAGGCTAAATGATCATCGACCGTGCTGCTGATTTCATTCGTGTAAGGTAGATTGAAATCACATCGTAGCCATGATGGAACGGTTTCCTGCACAACATACACCATATTTACCAAATAAGCCCTTCGTTGTTGGTGGAACATGGGCTTCTTATTTGGTGGCATGCGGAGAATTCTCCCAGTGCAAAGAAAAGCCTAGGGATTAGTTAAAGCTGATAATAAAATGTCAATATATAATCACTAAAACATTTCTCTTCCAATTCTCACCTCCTACCTTGTTATTAAAACGGTAGGAGCAATTCCCGTTTCCTAGCTCTAGTTACGGCCAGTCAACCACTTTATCAAGTAAGAATACATATACCTCTAAGCTAGTCCCACCCTACCTTACCTTGTGAATACCCAAACTCTCCCTTACAGCTTCGTCATTTGTCCACAACTCGGACAGGAAGTATGTGGCATTCTGCATCAAACAAATGAAGCACAACAGTTAAGATGTCGATGCAGTTAACACCGTAAAATAAGAATAACAAAATGGAACCGATTACAGATTTTGACAAAGCAAGCAAGAAGTAAAAAAAACAAAAAGCAAGAAGTAAAAATACGAGAAGTGAAAATAAAAACTGAGAAGAAACTAAGAATGGTAATTGAGACGTTTACCCTGCACAGAGACGAAACTGCGGACTCTGTTAGCCTTCTCCTTCCATGATCTCGCGACGTCGGCTGCTTGTCAAGGGTGAGGCTTGGATATTCTGGACAGATTTGCTCCAAGACGTGTACATCGTTTAAGCCCCTCATGCACTGTATCACAAAAGCCAAAAATGCTGACCAAACCATCAACCAGCAAGCTGCTTGTGCTAGCTAAGCGTGTCGTGCGATTGCTACCGGGATAATCAACACATTTGGGGCTGGTACTGTCACTCACCTCTTGGATTTCTTGGAGGGAATTGGCACAATGGGAGTTCGATGGCCAGCGATATTCTCCTCCACAATCTTCGCGAGCAGCCTGCAAGGTGAATATCACAAGCTTATCATATTTTCTGCACTGTGCTTAACTATATATTGTTCCATGATATTCCAAATAAATAGGGATGCACTTGACCAAATTCAGTATTTAAGTTAATATAATTTTTACTGACTGAGAAGCATTATACTTGACTAGAGGGGTAGCAGGCTGATTTTTTTTTTGAAAAGTAAGAAGCAGGCTGATACCAAATGTAAATTTGTAGTAGTCATTTTCATATAGCATACACATAAATTACTCTCAAAAGGTAAACTTAAATATGTCGTCACTATGTCACCTCATAGATTTCATCTGGTATAATTCCCATGCCATGAAGAAATGGAATTCGAGCGTTGAAGACCGTCGTTGTATCAGTCAACGGATTGCCAACAATGACACCCTGATCAATTAAGATAAACTTCCATGTTGGTAAGATTCTAACTCCTTAAAGAGATCATGTGAGGACCGCAGCTTGACATATCTGTAGGCATGCTAAACATATTGTGTTCTGACAGTGCATATAAGCAAAAGGTCATTGCAAAGTTTCAACTACAAAAGGCATAAATGAAAATAGAGTTGTTTATTTGTAAGTGAATAGAAAATTGACCAAAAATGGAAAAGATAAAAGGGTGAATTTCACCCAAACATGGTAACCATGTGTTTGAACCCACTGAAGTTCAAGAAATTCATATACCCGATTCAGACAAATATTTGAATATAAATATTCAAATTAAAACATAGATTATATTTGGTTTTCCCAGTGTTGTGTTCTTAGACTAAAATTTGTTGACCTTGATACATGGAAAACCTGGCCCTCACCACTAGAAATGATGTTACTGATTTTAGAAAGAGAATAAGAAACATTATGATGGCACAAATAGGAACCATGAATAATATGTGTCGGAAGAGAAGTTATGAAAGTAATTGTTATCAATACCTTGAGATTAACGAGTCGCTCATCACCAACTTCTATCCCTAGAATGAAAGCGACATGTAGTTAATTAAAAGATGCACTTTATACCCTGAAAAGAAATGCATGTGCTTTGAATAAACTTGTACGCAGAATAATCCTTGTTGATAGAGATGGGGAGCGTGAAGGAAGTTGAATTACCTTTAGCAATTTTCATAGCAAGAGAAGGTATGATTATACCGCTATATGAATCACCCGAAATGTAGAGCGGATTCGACAAGAACTGTGGATGCTCATCAAACCACTGTAGAGACAACAAAGAAGCAATTGGGAAATTGCACAGATGATGAACTTGTACATCCTAGTAGAAAATGCGTATAAATTATAGCAGGCGGAGACCGTTTCGAGGAAAACGTGCAGCTGCTGAATAACAAGTGTGTCACTGGGTATGGTTCTCTTGTCTCCGGTCGCATATGAGAAGCCTGTCCCTGCCGGAGCGTCCACAAAGATGACATTGCTAACCTACAATATATGACACAACAAGTACACATTACAATTTCTCCTCTGCAAAGAGGGATTTTTAATTTTGTCATATCAACAAAAAGTTCAGGTGATTGTAACAAAAAGTGCACTGTTATTGTAGCAAAAGGGTCCCTCCATCCTAATAGATGCATCACATTTGAAGGATTTTTTTCTGTAACAAAACCAAAGGGGGAGCGGGGTTAACCTTGGTCCAAGACGCTGGCTTGTAGAGCAGAGTGGGCAGGCCTCCCGTGTAGCCATGGAAGTCGAAGTAGAAAGGGCCGATCTCGTAGACGAGGCCGGAGAGGGCGGAGCAGCCGGGCCCGCCGGTGAGCCAGAGCAGGACGGGGTCCTCCGCCGGGTCGCGCTCCGACTGGATGAAGTAGTAGAAGAGGCGGACGCCGTAGTCCAGCTCCACGTACCTACGCCGTACCGCACGACCGAGTTAACCGAGGAGGAGGAAGAAGAAGAAGAAGACGACGACGACAACTTAGGAGAGAGCGAGCAGAGCATACCCTGTTTCGAGGGAGAAGGGCAGGGGTCCGGCGAAACCCGGCAGCCGCGGCACGGCTTTGGTGGTGATAGACGGCGTCCCGGCGGAGAGGAAAGGATGGAGGAGGAGGAGGAGGAGGAGGAGGAGAAGCAGCAGCAGGGAGAATGATTGCACAAGCGGCGGTCGGTGGGGCGGCCTTGTCGCCATAGCTAAGCTGGGCTCTCTATCGATCAGCAGGAGAGGACGTACGGCACCGCAAGCGGCAAAAGTTGCACCAGCTGACGTGATTTGATTGTGAACACACGGCACTATGCACTACGGTATGAAAAACTTGTACTGGGAGTGGTACCTATCCGAATCAGCATGAATCAGCATCGTCACTTGCATGACGTGACAGCGCGTGCACATACGTATCTTAACACAACGTATGCCGACAAGAGTAAAATCTATTTTAAACCTTGAATTCATACTCCCTCTGTAAACTAATACGAGGGAGTACGACGGATCGATTAACCTTCCGGTGCCCTGAAATCAACACCCCATACTCACTTAATTAACCCTGCATGTGTCCGATCTCTCCGTGGTTTTCCACGGACCGCGCGGCCGGAGCAGGATCGGCCATGTCCCAACCAACGAGCTGCCACACGTACCTTATCTCCATCGTCACTGTCAGCTGCTGCTGTTTTCTTAGGTTAAGTTTCAACGAAAAAGAGAGCTTTAATCTTGCCGCTAGCATCAACATAGACTAGTGTTACATCACATACGCTGATTGGACGAAATTGGGCGGTTCTCTCCATGCGTGCCTGACAGCTAGCAGTGTCGTTGCTTCAGTGTTTCCAGTAGCTGCTTTTTTCTTCGATGCTGGGCAGCGCATGGGGCCCGAGCGTTAATGCAGATTACGACGCTGCCGAGTTGCACACCCGAGTAGGCGGGGATCTCAGAGCACCGCCCCTCTATTTACTTCTAAAGTTTGGAACGTCCGTCCGATCAGTGAAACATCCGAACTGACCGTCAACCCTCAAATTAGGACCGAATATAGAGACGTTATATAAGGGCGTCCGGACGCGTCAGGGCTCCCCGCTCGGTCCCACCTGCAGCCACCCAAGCCTTTTTCCCTTTGATCTCGCGTAGAGCACGCTGAAAGATTGTGGATGTCGCTTAGGGGGTGTTGAATAGACACTTTAAATAATTACGATTTAGGCTTGAACAAATGCGAAATAAAACTAGCGTTTAATTTGTCAAGTACAAAACCTAAAACAACTAGTCTCACGTATGTGCACCAACAACTTATGCTAAGCAAGATAAACAACTAAGTGATAGCAAGATATATATCAAGAAACACTATGACTATCACAAAGTAAAGTGCATAAGTAAATGGCTTGGATAAGAGATAACCGAGGCATGCGGAGACGAGGATGTATTCCGAAGTTCACGCTTGCGGATGTTAATCTCCGTTTGGAGCGGTGTGAAGGCAGAATGTTCCCCCCGAAGCAACTAGGGCCACCGTAATCTCCTCAGGCCCTTGCACAACACAAGATGCCGTGATTCCCCACTAAGAGACCCTTGAGGGCGGTCTCCGAACCCGTACAAATAGAAACCCTTGAGGGCGGTCACCGGTACCCATACACTTTGGCAACCCATGGGGGCGGTCACCGAGACTCGTATAAATCACTCGGGGCGATCTCCACAACCTAATTGGAGACCCAGACGCTTGCCCGGTGATGAGGTCACGTATTACAGGTAGGGTCAAGGACCCATCATTTGGACCCACATGGGGCCCATCACCACCAGGGATAGGTCCCTGGACCATGCCAGCACTCGGATGCATACATTAGAAAGTCCACTCTGATGGCTCAACGGCACTCGGACAACCACACACCACTCGGCTAATGAATCACCACTCGGACCAAGGAGACAAGAGGGTGTCCTAGGAGCTGCAACAGTCGAGGAATCCTAAGTCAACCTTTAACAAGAGTCAAGGCTACCGTTACCTGTAACTGTCGTAGTAGAGATTCATCACACCTGTAACTGATGCCTTTAGTGTCATTAAATGCCTCGGCGACGTGGGAGACATGGGGCTGCGACACACTCTATATAAGCTGCACCCCCTCCATAGGCGGGGACGAGCAATCTTTGTAACCATATCCATAAAATAGAAGCAAGCATAAGGGCACGAGACATAGGGCTGTTACCTCCGCCGAGAGGGGCCTAAACTCGTTAAACACCGGGTGTCACACCTGCACCGTAGCTAGGTTCTGCCCCCATATTCGTACCCCTAGTACTCATGTCAGGATCGTAACCCCGATAGTTGGCGCCCACCATGGGGCTAGGCGTCTAGCAAACTTTCACAGCGTAGGTGGAATTCTTCATCATCATGTCAGTCGGCGGTAAAATTCATTTCGGGACACTCTCCTTCATCGCCGACGACTCAGTGTGGCTTCGCGAGGCCCCACTGGACGTGGAGGCGCTGCCCGTCCGCGACGCGACACATTTCCGCGCATCATCCTACAGAGTCCTACTCCGACAGCCCTCGGATCCGTACTGAGTGGCCGCTCGCCCTACCCTCGCACGCCGCCGCAAGCGTTTCGGGCGCTCGCGGTTGCAACGCTGTGTCAAACACGCTGTGGCCACACAGGCCGCGGCGGAACATGTGGCGGCTCTTGAGTTCGACGAGCCCGCCCTCGACCTCTCTGATGGGTCACTCGGCGATTCCTCTGAGGAGTCCGAGTGCGAAAGCATTGAGTCGACCGCCGAAGTTCTCATGGCGGACAACTCCGAGCACCGCGCACCCCCAGGGTACACCAACGCTCGAGACAGCGCGTGCGAGTGTGTCACACGGCAACACTGACGGTGACGCCAGGGGCCACAAGCCATACGTGCCTCAGACTCTCACCCGGGAGCAACGAGACGAGCTCAGGAACGAGCAGCTCCTGAACACCCCCATCACCGGGACGACCCCGAGGCATTGGCCATGGAGTCGACTCGCCTGGCCACCCTGGCCGAGCGCGATCGCTTGCTTCAGAGGGAGCTGGACGACCGTGAGCGCTGTCAACCTAGTTCCAGTCGGCATAAGTGCCGGCTCTTCTCGAGTGACCAATCTCGTAAGTATCAAGTCCTCAGTACTCCGCTACAAAATCTAGCGGCCGCTGCTCGGATCGTGGATTCCATCCAGCCCTCCGACTCAGCAGCTGGAGAGGGGATTTGGTAGATCCAACCGCCCCTAAAGACGGCACTATCGCAAACTGCGGTTGTGTCCCAGTCCAGAGACGGTATCCACACCTCATCAGTGCACGCAGAGACCGTTCAGTCGACTCATAGCCCACTCGGCTCTGGCAGGTACCGAGCCACATCCTCCTCAAGAGATCACCACGAACATCAGAGGCGCGGTCGAGCTGCGTCACCCTAGCGTCACGACAACTACGATCGCGCCCTGATGCCTCCACCACGAGATGGCACGTATGGGCGCCAGCCCTACGATGACAGACAGACGCATGCCGACAATCATAGGCCAAGTCTCACTCATCACATGAGGGACACCCGAGACCCGCATTTCAACGTGAGATGAGTTCTCGCTCAGAACCTAGTCGATAGGGGCCGGGCCTTGCGAGAAGGCCAAGATGCCGACGTTCCGAGTGGTTCTGTACCATCAGGTCCCGAGTGTTTCAGCTGTTATATACAGGCAATAGAGATTCCCAACAACTACAGGTTGGCTACTGGGATCAGCAAGTTCACCGGCGAGTCCAAGCCAGAGATCTAGCTGGAAGATTACCGAGTGGCAGTCCAGATCAACGGCGGCAACGACAATGTGGCCATGAAGCACCTAACTCTGATGCTCGAGGGCTTCGCTCGGGCTTGGCTGACACGGCTCCCGCCAGGCAGCATATTCTGTTTGGACGATTTGGCGAGAGTATTCGTCAAAACTTTTAAAGGCACTTACAAGAGACCAGGTGGTCTGGCCGAGTTGCAGCACTGTGTACAAAGGCCAAACGAGACTCCCCGCGAGTTCATTCAGTAGTGGACTACCTTGCACAATACGTGGAGAACGTCACTTGAGCACCAGGCGATCTGCGCCTTCAAGGCCGGAGTCAGACACCGTGAGCTGAACATGAATTCGGCCGAACTGAGACCCTGACTCTCAGTCAAGCTATGGAGATAGCCAATCGGTACGTCAACAGTGAAGAGGAAGACCGGATGAGAAGCGACAAAAGACGAGCAGGCGATGCTCACCAGTCGGACAACAAGGGCAAGAAGCACAAGCGGAAGGCTGAAGCTAGAGGGAGCACTGAGGTTACATCCCTGGTTGTCCAAGGCAAAAGCAAAGGCTCCCAAAAGCACAAGAAATACTGGAAGGTGAAGAAGCAAGTCGCCCTGAAGAGTTGCATCCTCGATCAACCCTACCAGATCCATACGAAGAAAGACGAGGGGGGCAATTTAATTCTGCCCAAGCATACCACTCAGGAGTACCAACTCCTGAAGCAAGAGATGCGGCAAGATTCCTCCGAGAACAAAGATGAAGACAAAGACGATGACAGAGGCAAAGGTACTTCCGGGTACCCTAACATCGAGAAAGTCTTGATGATCTTCGCCGACATTGATTACAAGAGTCGCCTCAAGGTTATTAACCGAGAGGTCAACATGGCAGTTCCGACTATCACCAAATACCTCGACTGGGCCAAGACACCAGTGACCTCCGATCAGTCGGACCACCTAGCCCACATTTCGACCCCCTGGGCGGCATGCTTTGGTGGTTGAACCGGCTGTCGGAGGGGTCCGATTGCGCAAAGTCCTAATGGATGGAGACAACGGACTCAACATTATTTATGCCGACACATTGGAGGCAATGGGCATTTCGATCCTGACTCAGCAAGAGCAATATGTAGTTCCACGGGGTAATCCCCGGGAAGAAGGCTAAATCACTCAGATAGATCACCCTCGACGTCATATTTGGCGAAGAGAAGAACTTTTGAAAGGAGGCTGACTTTCAAGGTGGTAGACTTCTAGAGTGCTTACCACACTATCCTAGGTAGGCCCGCCTACGCATGATTCATGGCCCGTCTGTGTTACGTATAACTTAAGCTTAGAATGCCAGGGCCAAAGGGCATGATCACCATCATGTGCAATCGGAAGTTGGCCAAAGAATGTCTCCAGAAGGGCTCCCAGATCACCGACAAATAGATGGTAATGGCCGAGTTGGATGAGTACAAGAA